TAATTAAAAATATATATATACTGTTGAGCTGATACAAAGGCACAATTTCAAAGAGATGTACCACAGGATTGCCACTAAATTCTAGAGAACTTTGGCTTCCGCCTTACCAGCTGCATAGGAGACAGGAAAGGACATAAAACCTGGGGCCTAACAAAAGGGGGACTCCAACACAAGACTCCTGGTTAAAATGCAGATCCCAACCAGCTCACCCTCAATGTAAGTTTAAATAAGAAACAGAATGAGTGGCGCCTGGGTGGCTCAGTCGTTAAGCGTCTGCCTTCGGCTCAGGTCATGATCCCGGGGTCCTGGGATCGAGCCCCGCATCGGGCTCTCTGCTCAGCGGGGAGCCTGCTTCTCCCTCTCCCACTCTGCCTGCTTGTGTTCCCTCTCTCACTGTCTCTCTCTGTCAAATAAATAAATAAAATCTTAAAAAAAAAAAAAGAAACAGAATGAAACACCATTCTGACAAAAACAAAACAAAGTGGCTTGTGTCAACCTTAATGCTCAGAAGGTGGAAAAATTTTCTCCCTTCAAAATTTGTGATTATAAGCCAAATTCATTTTATCTATGTAATAAAAAAAAAATTGCAGGGAATGTAAATTAAAGTAGTCCCAGGTTGGCAGTACCTCCAGGAGTAACTGGCAGAAGTAAATATAACCTTCTCTGGAGGCATCAACTCAGGCCTCAAAGAATTCCTATACATTAAATTCTGAGTAGAATAAGCACCTCACAATAATAAATTACAAAATTCACAAGGAAAGAAGGTACCATAAGTTAGGCTCACAGAAACAGATTGGCAGAACCATAAGTTAGGCTCACAAAGACTTCAGATATGGAATTATTTAACATAAAAATAACAATATTTAAAATGTTTAAAGACATAAAAACTTAAAAATATGGGGAAATAACAAGTGATAATAAATAACTACAAAACAGATTTGTGAAAAGGAAAAAAGAAATGAAAATTTTATAACCAAAAACTTTGTAGCGGGATTAAACAGCACACTAAACATAGCTGAAGAAAGAATCAGGAAACATGAAGATAGAGCTAAAGATGTCTAGAATACAGTCCAGAAAGACCAAGGTGAAAAATATAAAAGAGGCATGGGAAAGTGACAAAGTCTACTACACTACTCATCAGAGCTTCTGAAGGAGATAAAAAAGAGATTGAAGGAGAAATATTTTAGGTATACAGACAAGAGTTTTACAGAATTGATCGAAGATACTAATTTCCAGATCCAGGAAGACCCATGATACCAAACAGGATAATCAAAAAGAAATCTCCATCTAGACAACAGCATAGTAAAACTATACAACACTAAGGAAATAGAGAAGACTTTTAATGGCAGTCAAAAAGAAAGATAAATCACCTACAAAAGTATGGGTTAGGCAGACTCACAGCAGACTTCTCAAAAAAGTGACAGAAGACGAAAATAATAAAATTATATTGTCAATGTACAGGGAGACAACATCTTTCAAACTCAAATTTTCACAAATTGTTAGGTTTACCCAGTAAAACTATCATTAGAAAAGACAAAAACTGAGAGACCCTTTCTAAAAGAAATTTCAAAAAATATACATGTGGTAGGGGCACCTGGGTGGCTCAGTCGTTAAGCGTCTGCCTTTGGCTCAGATCATGATCCCGGGGTCCTGGGATCAAGCCCCACATCGGGCTCCCTGCTCAGCAGGGAGTCTGTTTCTCCTTCTCACTCTCCCTCTGTGCTCGCTTGTTCGCTCTCTCTCTCTTAAATAAAATCTTTAAAATATATATACAGACACACACACACACACACACGTGGTAGGAACAGAATGATCCCAAGTTAAAGTTCTGAAGATTAAGGACTAAAGTCACTTGTAAATATGTGAGCAAATTAAATACTGGTTATTAATTATATTTAAAAAAACTATTATAATAATGCGAAATCTGTGGGGGAAATAAAATAGAAACTGAATAACTCAGTTTCTAAGGATTTTCTATCACTTGGGAAAGAGTATACCTGATGATCAACGTTAGACTTTGCTAAGTATGTATGTTAAAATATCTACAGTAATTACTAGGAAGTATGTTCACAGAGTATAACTTTCATTCAAGTAGAGAATGGAATGAGAACAAGAGGGGGTAGGAATATAACTAGAATAAAGTCAAGAAAGAGAACCACAAGTATAAAAAACTGAAAAGTAGCAAACAAATAGCATAAATAAATCCAAATATATGAGTACTTACAATAAATGTAAATCGGTGAAACTCTCAGATTAAAAGGCAAACATTGTCAAACCATATTTTTTAAAGAAGTGAAATCCAACCATATTCTATTTATAAAATATTCCAAAAACATAAGGATATAGAAAAGTTACAAGACAACTGATAGAAAAAGATGTATTAAGCAAATACTTGACCAAAAGAAAGCTGATATAAGGTAAAAGGAATTATTTAAAAAGCAATACCATTTACATTAACACCAAAAAATGAAATAGATTGGTATAAATCTAATAAGACATGTACAAAATCTATATGAGGAAAACTATAAAACTCTAATGAAAGAAATCAAGTAAGATAGAGAGGTATTCCATGTTCATGGATAGGAAGACCCAATATTGTTAAGACGTTAGTTCTTCCCCATTTGATCTACACAATAAATGCAATCTCAATCAAAATCCCAACAAATTGTTTTGTAGATACTGACTATTTGGAAAGTTTGTCTGGAGAGGCAAAAAGCCCAGAATGACTAGCATAATATTGAGGGAGAAGATCAAGAAGACTGAAGAAACTTGAAGAATCACTATAAAGCTATAGTAGTTAAGAAAATGTGTATTAGTGAAAGATAAATAGATCAATGGAACAGAACAGAGAGTCCAGAAATAGACCCACACAGATATAGTCAAGTGATCTTCGACAAAAGAGCAGAGGCAATTCAATGGAGAAAGGATAGATTTTTTTAACAAATAGTCCTAAAATATGCAAAAAAAAAAAAAAAAAATGAATCCAGACATAGACTTTACACCTTTCATAAAAATTATCTCCTTGGATCATTGATCTACAGGGAAAACACAAAACTATAAAACTCCTACAAAGATAACACAGGAGAAAATCAGGATGACCTTGAGTTCAATGATGACATTTCCAATACAACATCAAAAGCACAATTCATGAAAAAAAAATTGATACCCTGGACTTCACTAAAATTAAAGACTTCTGCTCTGTGACAGACCGTTAAGACAATGTAAAGACAAGCCACAGACTACAGAAAATGTCTGCAAAACACATTCTGATAAAGGTCTAGCATTCAAAGTACACAAAAAAACCCTTAAAATTCAACAGTAAGAAAACAATGAACACAACTTTAAAAATGAGCAAAAGACCAGAATGAACAATTCACCAAAAATGGACAGATGGCAAATATGTGCAAAGATCTTCAACTTCTGTTATGAACTGAATTGTGCCCCTCATTCATATGCTAAAATCCTAACCCCTAGTGCCTCAGAATGTGACTGTATGTGGAGACAAGGCCTTTAAAGTGGCAATTAAGTTAAAATCAGATGAAATAGGTCAGCCCTAATCCAAGATGACTGGTGCCCTTAAAAGAAGAGATTAAGACACAGACACATACAGAGGGAAAGACTTTGTTAAGACACGGGAAGAAGACCCCCATCTACAAGGCAAAGCAAGTGCCTTAGAAGAAACCAACCCTGCCAACACCTTGATCTTGGACTTTTAGCTTCCAGAATTTTGAGAAAGTAATTCCTTTGTTTAAGCCACACCATCTCTGGTACTTTGTTATGCTAGCCCTAGGAAACTAATACGACATCATAAATCATCAGGGAATTTCAAATGGAAACAACAATGAGATACTACTACACACCTATTACAATGGCAAAAATCCACAGGCCATAAAATTAATCTCAACAAATATTTAAGGACTAGTTATACAAATCATTCTTACACAGATGGTTATCCTATGGAAAAAAATGTAATTAGACCCTCCCTGTATACAAAATCACTTCCGGGTGAATTGATAAATATGAAAAGCAAAAATACAAAACAAAACTTTTAGAAAGCAATATAGGAAAATATCTGTGTGAGGTTTGTTTTAGGAAAAGATTTCCTAAGATAAAACATGGAAAACATAATGGTTTGCTATTTTTTTTTTTAAGATTTTATTTATTTATTTCTCAGAGAGTGAATGAGAGCGCACGCATGGCAGGCAGAAGGAGAAGCAGGCTCCCCGCTGAGCAAGGAACCTGATGCAGGACTTGATCCCAGGATCCTGGGATCATGACCTGAGTCGAAGGCAGACGTTTAACCAACTGAGCCACCCAGGTGTCCCAGTGGTTTGCTATTCTGATTACTTAATATTTTTAAATATCTGCTTATCAAAAGACATCAAACGGGTGGTGGGGGCGGGGGAGGCAAAAGACAGGTTGAAAACCAGGCAGGCAAGACATTCACAACACACAAGACTGGCAAAGTATTAGTGTCCAAAATATATTCAGAAACCTACAAATTAATAAGACAAACCAAAAGAAAAATGGGCAAGAGACTTGAACAGGTACGTCATAAAAGAGAAAATGCAGATGGCCCATCAAGAAGAAAAAAATGAGGCTCAACCTCATTTATAATCTGAAAAATGCAAATTAAAACCACGAGATACCATTTAAATCCATCAGATGGGCAAAGACTTCTCAATCAAACAGGACTAGTGTGAGATAAGGGGCTGCAGAGGCTCTCACTCACTGCTCATGGGCACGTGCACTGCAAACAGTTTGCCATTACCTAGGAAGGCTGAAGGTCTAGATGGCCCATGCCTCGCAACCCTAGAGAAACTTTGGTAAATGTGTGCAATAGTCTAGTTTGTAGTAGTAAAAAAATATAACACAAATACCCATCAAGTATAGGATGAATAATATATTTTAATGGAACACTAACAAAATAGCCAACAACAATTAAATATATATACATTTTATAATATGTATTATTTATTAATATATCTATACAGGGGTGATAAAGATTTTTTTTAAAAATCAAGGGAATAATTAACATAACATTCAAGACTCATAATCTGAGGACAAGGTATATGAGAATATAAAAAAATTTTTGATGAATAAAAGCAAAGGACCAATTATTAGGAACATAAAACAGTGTAAACCTACCAGGATAAGAATGATTCTGTTTATTCGAAGAAATTTCTGAAAGAGTATCCAGGGAATCTGTTATCCTGTGAATAAAACAAACCTCATTAGCAAACCTCATGAGAAGAAGTAGCAGGTCTTCAGATTTAAGATTGGCTCTTAACTGAGGTTTTCACACCAGTGGTTATTTCTTATTTCACCTATTCAACAAACATTTATTGAGCATCTATTAGGAGCCAGGAATGAACTTCAAGCTAGCACCGAAGACGGGCACTAACAAAAACAGAAGAGATCCTTGTTATCTAAGGATGAGTAATGCAAAAAAAATCAACTTAAAGTAAATTCACTTAAAAGAGAGACCTGACTTTATTTCTTTGGAACTTTATCTTCCAAGATGAAACTAAAAAATCTGAAAATAAATTTGTTTTATGTTAAATTTAACAAATGTTCGATCAGAATTATAAAAACATCACATTCTTAAATTGAAAAAAAAAGATACTGACTCAGTCTGTGTATGCATGTAATTTTCTGATAAAATTGCATGGCTAAATACAATCCAACATCTTTTACTTTATATTTGACTCTCAGCACAACCATAGAGGTAACTTTCCTGACAGGTCTGTCTGTATTTTTTAATATTCAAATCATTCTTCATTGTTAAAAAGCCAATCCTCACAGTCTCATTTTCTTTCAGTTGTTTACTGACCTGACCCACAAAGCCTTCATTCTGACACCCACTTCCTGCAGGACACTTGGTCACCACCCAGAAATCCTGCAACTCTCGCAATATCTGCAATTCCATCTTGCACTTCATGTGCATCGTTTTTACATGATATACAGACTACGGCAATCAGTGAGAGACTGATGAACTCAAAGAATAGGACTTGATGAAGGGGACAGATAATTAGGTGGTGATGGGTAGTTGAGAACTTAATTCTAAAAGTGATCAGTTCATTAATAGTAAGTACCTAATCGTGAGAACTAAGAATAAGAAAATTAATACTGTGCTGATGAAGACCACCTAGGCAAAAAATAGGTAAGTAGGTAGAGAGATAAGATTAGATCTAGTCAGTAAGTCTTCTTGGAATTTCTGCAAAGAAATATTGGATGATTTATATATTCATAGAAAAAAAGGTATGAACTCAGTGAAAGCTGGTGATAGTAGAAAGCTATCCAAGCAAAGGAAATAACATTTGCGCAGATTCTCATAAAGAAGGCACATTTTTTTTTTCCTTAATGGAAAGGAGGGAAAAAAAGACAACTACAATCTGGGAGGAATGGGATTGTGATTGGTCACTACTTTATTAAGACTGTCCTCAAGCAGTCCTTAGTTTAAAATTCTTTCTTCTCGAAGATCAGTGGTGTCTTTCAAGAGCTCTAAAGCTGGTTTAAATTAGAAATTCCTCAAAATCAGGGACCATGTCTGTTTTATTTGCTTATAGAATGCCTAGCACAGCACAAAGTGCTAAAAGACACTTAATAGTATTTGATGATGATGAATGAGACAATCAGAAGATGACAGGAAGACAGCTGGATTGAGACAGCAGTTCATTTAGAGAGAGCCCTGTATCTTCTAAGAAGAGGGGGGTGCTTTTAAATAAATCACCTTAAAGAAGACCAGATAGAAGGCGAGGGGGGAAAAAAAGGTAAAAACCATGTGTTCCATAAACAAAGCAAGAAAAAGAACAGGAAACCATGAGAAAGAAAGTGGCTTCATAATATAAAAGGGGGAAAAGCTGTTACAGCATAAAAAAATACTGCACTAGATTTGGTCAGTATTTACCGTGTCTAAAATATGCCAAACTATGTCCTCTGGGTAATCAAACATAAAATGAAGAACTCCAGTCCTCACGACTAAGAGACAAATAAAACTCGTAAGAGACTATAGCAATGTGTTAATGAAGATTTGTCCAAAGCAATAAGAGAACCCAGAAGACTGGGGACTCCAGCATGCATTTTACCCTCAATCAATCATCGATAACACATCGGTCCTAAAGAAAGTCAGCAACCCTCTTTTAATCATTACAGGGTACCGGTTAAGAACATAACTTCCACTACGTGGGTTCAAATCCCCACCTGGGAGCTGTGCACACTTGCATAACTCACTTAACTTCCCTGTGCCTTACTTTCCCCCGCTGTGAAATAGGGATAATTACAGGACCTGACCCAGAGGGAGCTTCCAAGGTGTGAACAGTGCATGCAGCGCTATTAACTGCTGACACACAGAAGTGCTGTGCGTTGGCTACGGCTTTTTCTTATAAAATGCCTACCACAAAACAGCAAATTGTCTAAAAGCAAGGGCTTAGGAGAAACAACAAAATAACAAATCTGGGTTGAGTCCAGCTCCATCATTAACTAGTGTAAGACAGATCAAAATATGCCACTCCAAAACATGCCACTCTGGCAGAAGGATTATTTTGAGCTAAAGACATTTGAGAATCAACAAATGCAGGAAAAGGCTTTCTCTGAACTCTCCTTATCTGCCTAAAACAGGTGCTCCCAAAAAAGAACTCTTCTGTCCTATATCCCCTCCCCAGCAGTTTCATCAAGCAGGGAACTCCGACTCTTCTCATAGGTGAGGAGCTGGGAGGTTAACACCACATCACAAACTATCTTATCTCCCACCCAGTTAGCTTTCCTAAAAACCATGTGCCCTCCCACAAGTGGTCTTTTTCTCCCTCCCTTTCTCCTACTAAGATGGTCTACAAAAACTCCAATCTCACCACTTATATGGGTATTCACTTCTTTCTGTGATGCCCAGGTGCATGCAAATTTAAATGCAATAAATTTGTATGCCTTTTCTCCTGTTAATCTATCTGTTGTCAATTTAATTCACAGACAACACCCCCCCAACCCCCTCATCAGCTACTGACCCTAAGCGGGCAGAGGAAAATTTTTTGCTCCCCTATGATAACTATATGACTTTAGCTAAGTCACTTTATCTCTTGAAACTTTTCTTCACTGGCAAAATGGAACAACTATAATAACTTACAACTCACTGGGTTTGAGGGGGATTAATGAAACATGCATCTAAAGTACACTGTACAGAGCCCACCATTTACTAAATGCTCAATAAATGTTTGTCATAATTATTGTTATTTTCCAGCTTACCTGACCCAATACTTATTAGGATCAAATGAAACAACATTCAATTGAAGATACTTCATAAACTGCAAAGCATTACATATGTTCAATACTGTCACAAATAATGAGAAAAAAAGTATATCAATTACATCAAAGAAGAAGGAAATTAATACAAAAATTATGTGAAATTATTAAGAAAAACAAAGTGAGGTGGAAGACAGATCTAAAAAAAAACTCTAAAATCTGCCAGGAGGCAGTCACACAGCCTAGGTAGAAGGGAACTAGATGGGGCTCTGGGATGTGATGGCAGATCCGTTCTCATGAACGTGATTACACCATACATGTTCTTTCCTAAAGATTAGCATCCTGTTTCCCCTGCACGGAAGAGCACACCAAGCCAACTTCTCTCAGCATGTAAGTCATTTCACATAATGGTACCTGGGATTTCATGAGAACTTGTTTCTGCTCAACTTGTTTTTTTTAAAGCCAGAGTGAGCTGGTCCAGAAGTGTACCATCTTCAGGAGAAACACCGAGGAGGTACATTATATATAAATCCTTAAAGCTTCACTTCCCCCGAAGATCTACTGCCTATCTATTTTTGAAAACTAAAGAAATCAGAGGAAAAAGCCATTTTGGTTCCATTAGGTTTGGAGGAGAATGAATGGGGTGCCTGCTGGCAGGAAATTTAATGTAGTTAGGATGTGACTGAAGCAATCAGAGAGCATTTTTACTTTTGTTTGCATGACAGATTAAGCTTGCTGCTCTCACTGTTCTTAGCAGCAAACGCCACTTCTAATAGCCTACACATACTCATAGGGTTTGCAAATGAGGAATAAAGGACGGTTTTAAAATTGCAAATCCTCAGCAAAGCAAATTTAGCTTTCCATGAGCCTTCTCTCTGAAGAAGGTGGTGGGTTAACCCCTTGAAAGAAGATATGAGCTGTAGTCAGTGCGTGTCTTTAATATAAAATGAGGAACTCTAACTATAAACCACTGCAAATTCCAAAAGGCCTTGTGAAAAAACATAAATTTCCTTTTTCTCACCTTTGTACCCTGGATGGGGGAGCAAATATTCCATATCTTGGAGAACAACTAAAATACTGCACACCTCCAACTGAACCATCATTCTTGCCATGGGGTTTCTCAAGCTCTATACCGTACCAATATCCTAGAACAAGAATATTGGATTTTGAAAGCATCCGCATTTTACCCAAAACGGTTATGCTATTATACAAACCCAGAACCCGAATGGCTTAACATTTTCACAAAATGACCAAAATGATGGAAGAGCATCATGATCGTTGAGCTTTCAAATGATAAAATTTGAAAATTTGAAAAAATGAACAGGAAAAACATTTTACAAGCACAATTACAGAGTTGTACATTAAAGGAGAGAGATAAAATACACAAATTTGGCACAAACTAGCTATTATGCAAGTAGTATTATGACCACAGTATATCTACAAGCTATAATGAAAAAGAAACTGCCCTTGACTCAGTGATACAGCACATTTCAGTGGGAGAAGCACAACACAATACTGAGCCATACGGATCATAAAGTGCATGTGCAATCTTTTCCTTTCACTCTCCCAACATTCCAACATCACAAACTGTCCTTAAATAATTAAGGAAGGACAAAAGTAATATGGAAAATATGATTAGACTTCATGGTGATTCTTCTTTTTCTGTTTCCCCACCCAGGATAAAAAGAAAAATCATAATACTTAACCTTAGTGAAAAGATTTAGATTAGCTAGTAGAAGAATTTTCTAAAAGGCTTATTTTAAGTATGTAAAAGGGCCCACTCTGAGGAAAATAACAGGACTTCTTTTCTAGAGGGCAAAACTAAAGCAGTGAGGTTGCTTTTAGTGTGGTGAGAATTAGGTAGATGGACATATACTCCTAGTCTAAGTGTATACATACATACTCCTGGAATAAGGATTCTCAAATGGAGGGTACCTCAAGACCAGTTAAAAGTGCCTAATGAGCCACTCATTTTTATTTAAAAGGAGAATACAGTAGTAATTGCATCTGGTCTCTTACAATCGGTATCAAATAAAAAATAAGAATACAGACGTTGAGAAACTTACTGCAAATTCCAAATTCCAAAATACAAAAATACTGTTTCTTTCAGATGACTAATTCAAAGAGTCTATATAACCTCAAAAATGGCAACCTAGAAGTTCTTCAGTCTTTTCCTCTTATGTTCAAAAAGATGACCCTGGAGCCCATTTCTCAGTACTTTTGCACCGAAAGGACTAATGCATGACCACAGTCCTCTATACTTAAACAGCATACGAGTACAGAGTAACGTAAACAAACTTACTTCTCAGCCATACTAATGCTCTGGAAACAGGTCATCACATTTCCGAATGTCATTAACCAAGGTCGTCTGGTTGCCATTTTTATTTCTGAGTGCCACACAATGTTCAATGTTACAATGTACCACATATGACTCTTGAAAAAGTGTAACATCCCACAGAAAGACATGACAAGTGTGAACAACTGTGACTACACCTTGTCTGGTAGTGGTGAGGTACATACGGCTTCCCACTTAAATGGTAATTTTTTTTCCGATAAGAAGGCTAACGACGCTAAGAATGACATCCTTCAGGTCTAGATCTTATAATCTAAGAAGCTTCAATGAATCAGCGCTGTTCTCGAGAACTGACTGATCTCAATTTTGGTGCCACATGACATGCATGCTAGTAGTTTCTAAAAGGACAGAATGACTTTAACAGAAGGGTTTCCAACTTTACGTTTGCTTATGACTACCCCAATTTCTGGACGCTTAACCTTGGGAATTTAAAAATTAAAAGTCGGGCGCCTGGGTGGCTCAGTTGGTTAAGCGACTGCCTTCGGCTCAGGTCATGATCCTGGAGTCCCGGGATCGAGTCCCGCATCGGGCTCCCTGCTCGGCAGGGAGTCTACTTCTCTCTCTGACCCTCCTCCCTCTCATGCTCTCTGTCTCTCATTCTCTCTCTCTCAAATAAATAAATAAAATCTTTAAAAAAAAAAAAAGAATGCAAACATTTAGGGGCGCCTGGGTGGCTCAGTCGGTTAAACGGCTGCTTTCGGCTCAGGTCATGAGCCCAGGGTCCCGGGATCGAGTCCCGCATCGGGCTCCCTGCTCAGCGGGGGGTCTGCTTCTCCCTCTGACCCTCTTCCCTCTCATGCTCTCATTCTCTCTCTCAAATAAATAAAATCTTTAAAAAAAATTAAAATTAAAAGTCAACCTAAAACAATGAATTGCATCCAGTGAACCAAAACCACTCTAATCTTGTTTAATATAGAAAAAGGGAACTCAAAAGACATGGAGATTGTGAAAAATAACCCACCTTTGGGGTCTTAAAAGTTTTTATTTGAGAACTATATTAAGACCATCCTAACTCATCTCAATTACTACCTGGAGACCTGTGAGGGACATGAATTATACAACACACAGCCCATCTCAAATCAATTAGCTGGATTGTGATTATAAGTGGTATAATGAAACAAGACTGTGCTGGGAGACAATTCTCCGTGGCTCGCTCATGTTTCTGCATGTCTTAGGAACAGAGGCACCACGTTTCCATGGATGTCTGCACAGAGGACAGCCTTGGAGGACAGAGACAGGGTGTGGGCCGCATGCCCCACCCAAAATACAGGCATGCGTCTTGTCTAGTGTACAGGTTCAGATTCCTTACGCTCAGGGCTCTTCTCCTGTAGCATAAACCACTGGGTGTGCAGGTGTCACCTCCCCGCCACCCCGGGAACTGGGGCTCAGGAAGCAAGTGCAAGAAAATGCTGACCCCTGGGGCGCCTGGGTGGCTCAGTCGTTAAGCGTCTGCCTTCGGCTCAGGTCATGGTCCCGGGGTCCTGGGATCGAGCCCC